TCTATGGTAATAAGCAGGGGTTGGGGACTGATTCTCGTAGCGACAAGTGGTGTCTTGATGGGGAGTAGTAGACAGTTGGTTGGTTGGTCGGTCGGTTGGTGTTGGTGGTTGGGTGTTGTGGGTGTGATTGCGATTTTCGAAGATTGGTCGCGTGTAGAAACTGTACCAGGTTCTACGTGAAATGACTGGTATCTTCTGTGGCAGCAATCACTTGATCGTTCGGCCGTTCGGCCCCGTAGAGGACTTTCCGCTGTTGCTGAGAGGCTCCAATGGGACCGGCAGTGTTAATAAGCTTGTTGTTCTTGTCTGTTTGGTGTTTTCGAGCTACTGATGATGGTGTATCGATTCGGCCGTTGGCCATGGTCAATCCTTTTCGTTGGATCTGTTTTATGAGGTTTTGTTGGTTGTGATTAATTTTACGTAGGTTTCTACACGATTTGAGTACTGGGTCATAATAAAAGTCTTTTCGATAAAGCCAACGCTGGAATTATGTGTAAGCTGGGATTGCTTCCTCCAAAGACTTGCGAGGAGATCCCTTGGGAAAGACTATGCATTGACCTGATAGGTCCTTACAACGTCGGGGATCCTAAGAAAAAGAATTCCTGCACACTTCATTGCTTGACAATGATTGATCCCGTAACCGGATGGTTCGAGATTGCAGAGATCTGCTCCAAGGCAGCAGACGAAGTAGCCATCGTTCTAGAACAGACGTGGCTTACTTGGTATCCATGGCCTGCTGAGGTTATCATGGATAGAGGACGTGAGTTCCGCGCAGAAGTTGAGAAGACTCTCCTGGATGAATATGGACTTCGTCGCAAGTTCATTACCACACGTAACCCTCAAGCCAACTCGATGGTCGAGCGTGCTCATCAGACCATTCGTAACTTGATAGCAGTTCAGAATATCAAGTGTCAAGACGACCTCGTGAATGGATCCTGGGATGGAGTTCTCACGGCGGTTCGGTTCGCAATGAATGCCACGATTCATACCACCTTGCGTGCAACGCCTGCACAGCTCGTGTTCAATCGTGACGCGATTCACAACGTCCGTTTCGAAGCAAACTGGAAATACATCAAGGAACATCGCCAACGACTTATCCAGAAAAATAATGATAAGGAGAACGCGACACGTGTCCCTCATCAATCCAATGTCAACGATACTGTGATGATTCAACAGTATCAGCACCGCAAGTACGGTCAGCCAAAGTACAAAGGTCCTTACAACATAGACCGAGTCAATGACAATGGCACTGTACGGCTCCGACATGCTACCGCCAATGGCGGCACAGTCTACCAGACTTGGAACATAAGGTATTTACACCCATACAAGGCCTGATCCCCTTGTAGGATTGCCATCGTGCGACGCACATGTCTACATCCAATCTCCGGAGAGTGCCCCGCACTTTAATTCATATGTTCTCCTTGTCCGACTGATGTCGTGCCTCCTGTGACCCTTGTCAGGGGGCGAATGCAATACACGGCTCTTAGCCTTATTCGCGACTCGATCCTAGATAGGGTTTGAGTTCGACTCATGACGTAGTCCTTCGCGAATAGTCATTGAGACAGGGTTCTCATGACTGCTAGTCATACTAGGTTGTCGATGAAACATCGCTCTAGATATTTAGCCGGCGTGGAAAGCTTCCACGCTACTAGACAGCTACTAGCTGAAGTTTCCACGCGTTCCGGAAATGGACCGTGGAGTACGTAGAGTTATTACCATAACCTACGATATCACACTTCGAGGCCTCCCGTGGGTGACCAACTTCAATGAGCTTCACAACGATCTCTCTCATGGATTAGTTTTCGTAGCTTTCTAATCTCTCTCATAACTTTCATTCTCTCAAACTCAAAACACTCGAAAGATCTTTACACTAGCTTTTAGCGTAGTGCAAGACTTAGGCTCAATCAAGGAGGAAGAAGACTTGGTGGACAAGGTTGAGATGTTGTGTGCCTTGGTAGTTGAGTCAATAGGTAGCCCATAAGACTCAACACAGAATATTTGTTTCAGGTGGCTTGACTCGACTGGTGACTCGACTGGCTTGACTCTTGGCGCTTGGTCTTTGACTTGCTTCTACATGTACTCTGGTGACCTTTCAGGCTTAAAGGTAAAATTTACTTTATTTCAGTCAGGCTTTACCAAAATAATCAATCGTACTTTTGCATTTGGTCCCCACAAATCTCACCATGCACCACACAGGGGTGGGCTAGCTAGCCCCCATGTGTGTGCGTTTTCTAGCACATCCCATCCCATACCTTATTCAAGGACACATGCAATGCCGGTGCAATACATCCAATCTTCCATCTGCAATGGCAGCAAAGTGTTTCTTGAAGGTAAAGTAGGTGAATTCCACCTTGGAAGAATCGAATCGTTGAAAACAGCAGTTGCCATAGCACAGCATAGATCATTGGTGAATCCAACACCTTTCTCTGCTTCCAGGGATCTGGTTTGCAACGGAGAATACATCCTCGTTCTCTCACCGACTGCAGAGCAGGTAGGGACGTGGTGAGCGCAGATGTTGCTTCATTATCAATGTGGTTATTGGCGGTTGAGGGTTGGGGTATCATTTCTTTCAAGAAGTGTGTCCTCAGAGGAAGATTTATTTGTGGTGACTAGTGTACTCAAAGGCTCTGTTGGCCTACGGTTTACCCGTAGCGTGCTGCCACCCAACACCAAGAGCCCACTGTCACCGCTCTAAAACCTAAAACCCCTTCCTGAGAACAACTCAGGATCAAAGCTTTAATTAAAGTTGTTAGATCCCCCCATTAAGCTAGCTAGAGTAGCTGGGGTCTAGCTAGTAGGAAAGGCAGTGATTTTAGGAGTTAAATGTTTTTGCAAGTGAATCTTTGTGAGGGGTAGCGTGATTTGTCGCTCACAAATTTTCACTTAGGCTAAGTGCTCGAAAATCCATTTAGGCTAAGTGTTACTTAGCCTAAGCAATACACTTAGGCTAAGCAATACACTTAGGCTAAGCCATATAAAGCAACTCACTTAGGCTAAGTGAAACACTTAGGCTAAGCGAAACACTTAGGCTAAGTGATGCTCTCCGAGGCATCTCCTCAATAGCACAAGTCTCCTCAACAGCACAACACAAGTCCCTGCAGCAAGCACACACACAGACACAAAAGTGGGTGTATCGCGCCGTTGGGAATCAAACAACAGATGCACTATTCAACAAGTACTTTCAAAAGGACCAGTATTGTCCCGTTGGGACGGCAGGAAAGAACTGCGATCTCCCCTGTGATCCCAATCATGGAGCTTCCGATGCTTCTGGTGCTTGCTTGTGTCAATCAACAAAGTGGACGGGGGATGATTGCTCAATTGAGGTACCAGAGGATCTAAACCTGCTTCCACCCGGACTGCTGATTACATCATATGTCCTGGTTACAATTAACTTTGTGCTTGTAGCAGCTTGTGGATTGTGGTTGATGGTCCACAGGAATCGGGCTCACGTCAAGATCAGTCAGCCAAGCTTTCTTGTACTCATCTTGCTGGGCTGCATTATTTCTTCTTCGACCATTTTGGCTTTGGCGCAGGAGGACGAGGGCGACGGCCCTGTTGGTGCCTTCATGCTCATTCCTTGGATGTATTCAGTTGGTTTCTCAATCACATTTGCCACTCTGTTCGCAAATATTTTGAGACTGTTCATCCTCATGAGGTCTGCCGCAGAGATGAGACGCGTTACAGTTTCATTGCAAGGAACTTTGGGGCTTGTAGCACTTGTGCTTTTGGTAGATGTTTCTATTCTGGTGGCAAGTGGTCATCCTGCGGACACAAAGCTGTCAACACAGGTGCGCTCACACTTTGATTGTGCCCCCTGCTAGGCATGGACTGTCTTCGACCCACTTCAGTGGCGCAGAACGATACTCAGCAAAGATCAGCTGGGCAATCCACTTGCTTCGCAGGGTATCTGTGTCTCGGACTCCTGGGCCATTTTCGCATCCATCATATTTGCCTTTCATCTCTGCCTGATGCTCGCAGCATGTTTCATGTGTTATGTCACGAAAAAGATTCTAAACAGACTGAGCAACGGCAAGTTTGTGAGCATTGCGATGGTAGGTAGAATTCAATCGAATCGTTTTGAGTCTTTGGATTCGGGGGATCCACCTGGGTACACATGTAGTTCCCTTGAGAAGGTTTTCTCACTGCGTCCGTATGGTCATGACTCATCCTTCTCATCGTCTTGTGTGGTCTTGGTCTCACATATCTATTGTCCACGGATGATCTAAGTTCTCAAATTTGCAGATCATGATCGTCGCCATTCCTGTGCTATTTGTCGTTGGATCTGATGCGACAACCAGCTTCTTTGTGAGATCCATCGCGATATGGGTAAACGACTTTGTGGTTTTGGCCTTGATCGTTGGCCCGCTAGTTTTCAACGTTACCAAATTTGATGATGCAAATCGAAGGTCAAGGTTGCAGGAGAACAGTACTGAACCCATTCACACTGGGATAAAACAATATGCTGAGAAATTGCGAAGCACAAGAAAGCTGAGTGTTGACAACGCATGGGGTGGCGAAATATATACAGTGCCAACGTTTGGCAGCAGGAAGACCAACCAAACAGCTACTGGCTGCACTAATAGATCATCACTTGCGGTCAGCAGAGATCCAGGAATGCCAGACAGCAGCTTCAAGGTGTTGCCGGATGGCAACGAACATGACAAATGTATCCCAGAAGAAGAGGAGGAGGGGATAGAAGAGAATCCATCCAATGCTGGTATGGCAGCACCCCACGCCGGGGATGTGTCGTTCATTGTGGAAAGTTCCAAGGATTCTGTCGATACAACAAGTGCGAGAGATGCACGGAAGACAACGAATCGCATACAACCGGTGCGGGTGGATAAGCCCATCGAATGACCAATGCCTCGACGAGTAGCGATGTAAGGAAACTGGAAGACTGTCCTCCGTGCATTGAAGAGTTTCAATTCTGGTATGCAATAAATGCATCGCTATGGTGTGACAAATTGGACGGGAAAAGCAGAAGAGAATTCTACCGTATCCACACCACAGTGGTTCCCAACAGATGGACGATAGAGCCAGTTCAGGTAGCGAAGTGCTTGCATTCTAGCCCCCATTGTTTGCCTGGCGACAAAGAAGGCTGTACGATTGCTTGGAACACTATCTACCCAGCCTGAATCACGATGGATTTTATGGATTTCTGCTCGAACTGAATTTGTGGCTTGGTAGGTAGCACAAAAACAAGGACTGCCAGTTACCGGTACTAGTACTGGTACTAGTACCGGCATCTATAACTTAGCTTTGCTTCTTTCCTGTGCCACGTTCTGGTTCTAACCATAGTTGCACTGCCCCCAATATGGCGATAACCAATGCCATCCCGAACAGCAACACCTTGAGACGTGTGGCAGTGGTCTTGATGGCCATGAATTCTTGATGGCCAGTCAACAGCATGACTTGAGCATATCCTTCAGTGAGGTCTGTGGGAACACAAAGCAGTGCGGGAAGAAAAGCCAGCCAGTGACTTTTGAATGCTCTGATGGCCACACCAAGAAAGAAACTGGAAAACGTAAAGGGATATAGAAAGTCCAAAGTGACCGTCGTCCAAATATGCACGTTTATCTGTTGTGATGTCATGTTGCCAATATGAGTGGCAGTTTCTTCAGCCTCAGACATCGAGTCAATGAGGTCGAACCCCCACCACCACATGACCAAGGGGTTAAATTACTCATTTAGCTTAACGAGCTATTGGCCACGGAGTGACTTTATTGACGCGGGCAAGTGGTGGGGGAGATCCCCACCTAGCTGAGTCGTCATCTACTTTGTTTGCCCAATCAACATGACCTTATCCACTGGCCCAGCGTGGAGCCAGCACCAAGTAGACAGATGCCCTGGGTAGGGGGGTGAGCACATTGATAGGGAACCTGCAGCGCAAAACCTGGGTTACAGGGGCTTACACAGGATTTTGTCGGTATTGAAACCATTATCACCAAAGGGGCCGTGAGGACCAGATAAATTGCCAGACCAAAAAGTGTTCGCCAGTAAGTGTGTCTGGGTGATCAGGTCCCAAGCTGTGGCAAGTGCCTTGGCATGCAAGGCAAGATGCCAGCAGAGCCCATAGGAGGTGGTACTCCTCAGGCTGGACCAGAGCAGGGTGTAACCCATCCAATGCACAAAAATTGTTAGATAGAGGCCAACAAGCAGGCAGAAGATGGGGTCAAATGACACACTGGCAGTGTGTGGTTCCCAGGAGGGAGGCACAGTGGCTGCTGGAGTGTTGTGGGCTGTTCGAGGGGTTGTTGAGTCAATAGAAGGAGGATGAGGGGGCACTGGAAGTGGGCTGGTGCCAGGGGCAGGAGGGGAGATCCTGTTGGTGTTGGAGTGTTGTTGTAGGAGTTGGGATGTAGCATGGTTGATGGTGTGTTGTAGGATAGAGGCGTGCCTCTGTTCAAGGGTGAGAACAAAGGCATCCTCCCTGATAGGGTAGGGTGTGATTCGGAAGGGTGTGATCCTCAAGATGGCTGCATGCTCTAGGAGCTGTTGGCTGATCATCTGGGGAGTGGTGTTGTGTAGTCTGCGGAGGATGGTGGATGTGGTTGGTTGGGTGAAGTGTGGGAGTGGGGGAATGTCTGGGAGGACCTTGGGTTTGAGTGAAGTTGTGGGTAGACATGGGGAAGTCATGGTGGGTGGTAGGTGGGTTGGTGGGAGAGTTGTGTATCCTGGAGTGTTGACTGTAGTGTCGTTGCTTCAACGCAAGCAATGGAGGTTGCTTGTGAGGTGGCGAGAGGATTGATGTAGAGGGGTTTATTCAAGGGGCAATGCACTGAGGCACTGGTAATCAAGGTTTATATCAAGTTGTTGGGTTGTTGTTGCCACTGGATCAAAGGCTGTGGCCAAGTCTGGTGCAGGTATACCACTACCTGCAGGAGAAGATGGTATCAGAGCCAAATGCTGTTAGGGATTCTTTCAGGGAGAACTGGAGAAGTCACACTATAGCCAGTAGAGGCAGTGGTGGGGGGATCAAGGGGTGTTGTTGGTTGATGGGGCTGTGTTATTGGATGACACTGTGTTGTCTCAAAGGCTGGTACTCAATCTGTTGCAAGGGCCACCGTGTAACAGAGAGTCAAGCCAAGATGTGGAGAGGGTACTCGATTCAGGTGGAACTGGGGAAAGTCACTGGAGAGTCACTCAACAATCAGTGAGAGAGGGAAAGAGTCAGTTATGTATTAATATCTATGCCACACCACGCTGCAGTTCTGTCTGGGGCTCAATCCTTTGGAGCACCACACTCAGTAGGAGAGGCAGATAGGAGCAGCAAGGTGGCTGTTTCAATGAAGGTGTTGCACAATCTGTCTATAACCAGAGGGGCAACTTTTGTAGTTGGTTCTTGTGGGGGTGAGATCCTATGGAGAGGAGTTGGATATCCCAGGGAGAAGGCTGAAAACCTGGAAATCGCCAAGCCTGGTTGATATGTCCAAGGAAGGAAACTATGCTCAGTAACTCCGACGAAAAAGCTGAGGCAGTATCCAACTTGTAACCAACTCAAGTCGTTACAGGAACTCTGTTGTTGTTTGTTGTTCCTCTTGGGGAGGAGGAGTTAGATATCAATAGAGGGGTGTAACAGTGGGTGTCGATCAGTCAATCAGTCTGTATAGGGATAGGACTAGTTGGATCAGTAGGATCAGTTCCAACAAGGACGTCGAGAGAAGCCAAAAGTGGCCAGTGAGAAAGTAAGAAATACAGCTGTGTTTCTGTTCTCGATGGTCACTGCAAGTATCTCGTGAAGTCCTTCTTGATGATAGTAGGCTTCGGACGGAGGAAGAGGTACGTTCGCGGGAAGATTGATCGATTCACAGAGTAGCGAGTCTTGGATTCGAATCGATTAGGTCTAATCACTTCGATTCGGAGTTCGCGTTTCCGGTGAGTCAGTTGCCTTAGGGATAAGGTTAATCGAGCCTGTTGTTGTTGAGGAAAAAGATCGATCGTTCGAAAAAGAGGATCGACAATGGGATTTCTTGGGCCGTCGGTAGTAAGAGCAATGCTGAAAGCCGGTGACTTCTTCTTGTGTTCAAATTCTTCCAACTTGGCCGTCGGCGGTCGAAAATAGAAAACCCGCCCGATCTCGTAGGATTTCAATTGGGATGGCTTTCTAATCTGAACCGGGGAAGGCCGCTTTGATAGTCGCTTGATAGGAGAGGTGCGCTTGATAGGAGATACCAGAGGAGGTGTCGATCCTATCAACCGGAGGGCTTGAATGAGAGATAAAGAGAGGAAAAGGGAGTGTGTTTCCTGTGATGACGTTGAGCGGATTCCTATAGTAAAACAGTACTCTTCAACAAGATAACAGAAAACAGGCTTCCTGAGGTCC